GGGGGGCATCAGGTGAGCAAGCTAGTGAAACGTTGCACGCGCAAAAGAGAAGGTCTGCACACATCCAAAAACGTATTTTAAATGCAAAATTGATTTCCGTGCGCTCGAAAGACTTTTTTTCTTTGCGAAACGAACATTTTCTCCACAAACTCAGATCGCGCGCATGCAAAATGCACTTTTGTGCGCTCAAAATATGATCTTTTGCGCGCAGAATTGAGGCAAAAATGTAAGCCCATATTAAAACTGCGCGCGCTACCGACAAACATAAATCTGCATAATTTATCACCATAATTTATCACGATTTAAAATTGTACAATAGAGTTGTCATCGCAAATAATAATAATGGACGATTTGGTTAATTGTCATGAAAATGTAAGTAATTTATTTATTTAAGTATTTCTTATATTTTCTTATTCTTTCTTATTTTTAACAATTTTCAAAAATCATGTTTTTTTTTTTATTTGCATTCCAATTAGTCTCAATCAAACTGCAGTTGGGTTATTTTGATTAGGTAAAAATAATAACTAAAAATACAGCTAACTAACACAATAAAACACAATAAAAAAAGGCAAGTTATAATTAGCACATACTGGGAGGACTGGGGAGGGGTCACGTTTCCTCTGGAGGTTCAGAAGAAAAAGATAAAAAAAGAGAATAAAGTTAATGTGAGTGAGAGAAAGCGATACAAGTTTTGTTGATTTGATTGCATGTGTTTTTAGGGGGTCGGGGGCCGAATGTGTCGATGAACAAGAGGGTGACAACACAGACATGGGAGGGTCGAGTTAAAGAAAGAAAGCGGGAGAGAGAGAGAGGGAGAGAGAGGGGTGGGGGCACAGACAGAGAGATTTATTTCCACAGCTGACAGTGAAGCTCCCGTCACACACTCGTTTTCGGAGGTGAGAGAGGGACTAAGAGAGGAAAGAAGTTAACTCCGAGAAAGTGGACAAATAAAACAGACAATATGGATACCTTGGCTTTAGAGGCCACGCAGCCCAAAAAGGCTCAGAACGGAGCCGTGGCAGCAGCGCCCGGACCCCCCACTCCTGCCAAACGCAAACCCGCTAAAAAGACTAAGAAAGCTGTGGTCTTTTTCGAGGTGGAGATTCTGGACGCCAAGACGAAGGACAAGCTCTGCTTCCTGGACAAGGTAGGAAAGATTTTACCTTCATTTTCACTGCATGCATTACTCGACTCTAAATCATCTTAAACTGTTTTACACTGCATTTTCTCTCAGATAAATATACACATGCAACTTCATCTTAATTAAAAGTCATGGGATGTCTGTGCTGTGAAAAGTTTATTTGTGATGCCGCAGCAGTGTTATTTTAGTATCATTAATATACTATAGTAATGTTTTTTTAATTTAAATGAGCTTTTCTGTTTTCTGTTTTTATTTTATTTCTAACTTAAAGTTTCAGTAATTTAGATTAGTTTTTGTCAGTTTTTCATTTTTATTAATTAATTTGATAGTACTCTGAATTGAAATAAATAAATTAGAAAGGTGGTCTTGGCATCCACGTGAAATAAAATGTAATAGTCAACATTTGAAGTGGATCAAAAAAGCTCATCAAAGTTGTCCTAAGACAAGAACGCATTTTGGTTTTAGGACAACTTTCAAAGCTTTTGATCCACTTCAAATGTTGACTAGTGTACATTTTTATAAAATACAACGTCAGTTGATGCTTATTTTGTATTTATATAGTATTTTGTTTTCATATATGTTAATATATATATTCCTGTGGCTCAGTGGTAGAGCATTGTGTAGGCAGCGCAAAGGTCGTGGGTTCAGTTCCCAGGGAACACGCATACTGATAAAAAATGTATAGCCTGAATGCACTGTAAGTTGCTTTGGATAAAAGTGTCTGCTAAATTTAATTTAAATTTATTTACATTTTATTTTATTAAATTGTATTTTATTTTAATATAGCCTAGTAATTGTTATTATTATAATAAATATATTATTTATTTAAATTCGTTTTTCTGTTTTCTGCTTTTATTTTATTTTAAGTTTCAGTAATTTAGGTGTGTTTTTGTTAGTTTTTAGTTTTTATTAATTAGTTATTTAGTACTTTGACTTGAACTAAATGAAAATTAGAAATGTATTCTTGGCATCCACGTGAAATAAAATAAATTTTTATAAAATACAACATCAGTTAATGTTTATTTCGAGAAACTGAAATGTTTTTTAATGGTTTTAGCTTCTGTTTTATTTAACAATGTGCTGCAGAGTAATTTATGAACTGCGGTAAAGCTAAATTGCAATTAAAAAGTGTGAATAACTAAAAAGAAACGGTTTTTAACCTCAAATCAATGTTAGTTATCAACGATTCATTTACAGATACTGCCTTGTAACCATTAGCTTCAGTCGATTCGCTCTTTAATTACTCGTGGTCATTTTCAAATGAATGCACACGCTTTTCCCACTGTAAAATCCTCATCCCTAGAGTGGTGCTATCTATAGAAACTCAGGGTTGTGGTGTACTCTTGCACGGAGCGGAGCGTCTGGGGGCTCGAGGTCTTCCTGTAAGGAGGTGTCTGTAATGAAGCCTCGAGAATGCCAGGAGCCGCGCTGTGGGATTGTCCTTGGATTAGCCGCCGCTTCCCCTGTGATGTCACTGTGTCGTCATGACATCACAGAGGAATGGAAGCCTGTGATGATGACGTCATACGCAGAAGGAAAGATTCCTAGAGAGTAGCTCCAAACAACTGAAGATTTAAAGGTTTTTGGAGGGAAAAGGAATTATCGGCTCAGCAGATGCTTTAATATAAATGATTTCAATTTATACTTCATGATAACATTCACAGAAAATGCCATTGCGTTTATTCACGGGGCTTCAAAGTGTATTGTACTCAGAAGTTGTATTTTATGATGCATTGTAAAAATAAACAAATAAATTCAAAGTAGTAAGTAAAACTCAGATTATTGGAGTACTTTTACTGGAAAATACTATTTCAGCTTTTCTGCTTCAAAATAGCTCTGTGTTAATTGCTGTTTCTTTGTAGTTGAGAAATTTGCAGTTTTGTAGTGATTTTTTTTTAAATAGGTAAGTAGTCACATTTTATTGTTTTTATGATGATAAATGCATTGCTAAGCATATTATGTCACAGCTGAGGTTTTGTGTGTTCATTCATTAGGTTTTTGAATTATTAAAGAAAGAAATACTCATAAATCTTTGTCAACATGCATCTGGAATAGTTTCCTTACTGTATGTTTTACGCACTGGGTCAGTTGTTTATGCTTTCGGTTGCTCTCACATACAGTAGTTATTTTGCTACAGTCTACTGAAAGAAACGCATAATCATCAGATAAAGCAGTTTCTTGGAGATTTTTATAAGGCTGCAGATTTCTAAAATCTCCCGGCTGTTTCGAGGGACCTCTAGGTCTTTTGGGAGGTCTGGTCTGTTGGCTGTGTTTGTGTTGGTGTTGGTGGGTTTGTTTGTTTGGTGTTTTGTGTCTCTCAGAGCAGCTGCTGTACTAAAGCCACATCGTCTGGGGATTGTAGCTAAATTTATCCATCATTTCTCACACACACACACACACACACACACACACACACACACACACACACACACACACACACACACCACACACAC